TGCTTCCAGTTTTGGGCTCCACAATTCAAAAAGGATGTGGAGAAGCTTGAGAGAGTCCAGAGAAGAGCCACGTGCATGATCAGAGGTCAGGGAAGCAGACCCTACGATGACAGGCTGAGAGCCCTGGGGCTCTTTAGCCTGAAAAAGCGCAGGCTTAGGGGTGATCTGATGGCCACCTACAAGTTTATCAGGGGTGACCACCAGCATCTGGGGGAACGTTTGTTCACCAGAGCGCCCCAAGGGATGACGAGGTCGAATGGTCACAAACTACTTCAAGATCGTTTCAGGCTGGACATAAGGAAGAACTTCTTTACTGTCCGAGCCCCCAAGGTCTGGAACAGCCTGCCACCGGAGGTGGTTCAAGCGCCTTCATTGAACACCTTCAAGATGAAACTGGCTGCTTATCTTGCTGGGATCCTATGACCCCAGCTGACTTCCTGCCCTTTGGGCGGGGCGCTGGACTCGATGATCTTCCGAGGTCCCTTCCAGCCCTGATGTCTATGAAATCTATGAAATCTATGAAGAAGGGAGTTCCCCAGCCTGTCGGTATGTTGCTGGTTCTTCCCCCCCAGGTGCAGTACCTTCCACTTGTAGTGTTGAAACCCATCCTGTTCTCATCCGCCCACCCCTATAACTTGTCTAGGTCCAATTGCAGCTTATTCCTCCCTTCTAGCGTGCCCACTTCCCCCACATCTTAGTGTCGTCCGCGAATTTGAACAGGGTGCTTTTTACCCCCTCGTCCAAGTTGCTGATGAAGATGTTGAACATTGCAGGCCCGAGGACTGAGCCCTGTGGAACCCCAGTGCCCACATCCCTCCAGGTCGAATAAGACCCGTCCACCACCAGCCTCTGAGTGCAGCCCTCCAGCCAGTTAGTGACCCATCTGACCGTGTAGGCATCAACACCACTGTCTCCTAGTTTCTTACAGAGAATGGGGTGAGAGACCGTGTTGAAGGCTTTCCTGAAGCCCAGAAAGTCTATATCCACTGAGAACCTGCATCCAAGGACTTGGTGACCTGGTCATAGAAAGCCACCCGGTTGGTTTGACAAGAACCCATGCTAATGAACCCATGCTGGTTGCCCCTGAGCATAACCTCCCCTGCTGGCCCTTCCTGGACATGTGCCAGGATAATTCTTTCGAAGTCCCTCAGCCTTTCCTCCTATGGCCTTCCCTCGAGGCCTTGGATCATATGAGTGGCTCTCCTCTGGACTCTCTCAAGCTTCTCCACATCCTTCCTGAAGTGGGGGTGCCAATACTGGGTGCAGCACTCCAGCTGCGGTCTCACCAGGGCTGAGTAAAGTGGGAGGGTTTCACAGAAGCAGGACATCAGCTGCAGTGGTTACTCTGCTTTACCTGTGGCAAATTAGAGTGTTAGGTCTGTGTTGTGTCAGGGTTGGTGGTAGTCTTATGTAGAGTTTAGATTATAGTTTGTATGGGATGGTTTGGATTGGGATGCTGCTGCTTCTGGAGATCCGTTCTAGCCCTACTTTTCAATGCTTTTATGTTAAAAGAAAATGCTTTTTAAGCTACATTTATTACAGGAAAATCCTATGCAAGAAGCAATAGTTTCTGAACGCCACTTTTCCTTGCCTCTATTAGGGCATGTACATAAATTAAACTTAATAACTGTTAAGTAAATAATGCTGTACAATGTTGAAATACTACATACAGCTCTTATATGTAGAAAGATGACTCCTGCATTTGGAATCACCAGTTTTTGGTAATGTGTAGTTATGCATATCCTAAAAAAATTTCAGTCTCAAAAGGTGTGTTTGACTACAGTGAACATGCATTTTCTTATAGGAATATGATATTTAATGCTTGCTTTAATGGCAGTTGCATGGCATTTTTGGCCTACGGCATTCAAGGAAGTATGCAGAGTAAATCTGTAGCAGAGCTGCTTTACCTATGCTTTTTTTCTCCAAGAGGTTTGCAGCTGACAGATTTTGTAGCCCAGTTGAGAAGAGGTAGAATATATTACAGACTTGTGTTAGAATCCATATTTGTCCCAAGTAAAAAATGTGCTCAAGAATTTGACAAAAAAGACAAAAATCACCACAATAGTGCTTATTAGCATGCTACTTCAAATTTAGTTTACTAGATTATCTATTTTTTATTTTGTATTCAAAATATCTTATATCAAAAGACAAACCTAAGCAACTATTTCTGAAATTATTTAACAGAGGTGAAGGTGGTAAGGTGTCAATTGGTTAAGTTTCCAGTAATCAACTGAAAGCTCTCTTAAGCAGTATATGCATATACCTGATGTGATGGTTTTTAAGTTCATAATGACATACTCATTGTTTATATAATTAATACATATTCTGTTTTATTCTCTCATTGTTCAATGTATGATTATGTGTCGTATTCACTGAACAAAGCTCTTTTGAAGGTAGAAGGCACCCATTACTATTATATAAGTGTTTCATAAACACTTACTAATTAATCCACTCACTCTTCTTCTTAGTACCCCTAAGGCTCCAGGAAGACATTTAAGGATGGATTTTAGTCATCTTCAAAAAATTTATTAGATGAAAAAAAAAATCCCAGTTTAAAAGTAGAGTAAATGTTGAAATCTTCAGTTTTCAGAAAAGGTTCCCTAGATGCCAATCCTATAATATTGTCTTGGAAATAGATGATAGACTTTAGATATAAAGCATAGCAGGTGCTTCAGAAACCATGGGACTTACATGTTTTGTGTACCACATGCATTGTACATCTTTAAGATGAGAGTCATAATGGTCCAAGAAATGCATGAGAAGTGAGGAAGACCTGAGAGGCCGCAATGCTTGTCTAACCTCTCCCCCAACAACACAATTTGTCCAATAAAAAATATGACAAAAAACTCTCCCCTCTAGTACATAGCTACTCATTTTCTCTCTCCAAACACATTTGCACTGCTATTTTATTACTACATTTTTGTTAAAGATGATTATAATTAAGCAGAACCAAAGAGCATAAACAGTTACATGTAAGAACTCATATTTTCACACACAAGAATTCATTAAAAAAAAATAGATTGACAGAAATTAATCAAATCCTTGATACCACAGTAATATTGTCACTATGGATACTTCTTCATCAAGTTGATCATTTCCTTATACAGGAACTCAGGGGCATCAAGACCCCAAAGAAAATCCAAATGGTTCCAGTTACGAATCCTGTTGTGGTAAGTGAGATTCCTGATTTCTTGGAGCAGAAAGTCAACATCCATAGGAGTGGCAAGCCAGTCTTTTTTGCCACTCCACACTGCAGTTGGCACTTTCATGTCTGTTACGTTGTAGATGAATGGAGTTCTCTTTCAAAAGATTGCATAAAAATAAAAGTTTGAAAGGGAGTAAAATATATAATGTAGTACATGGTGAAAGGCTAGAAGTATATTTTAAGCAAAGGACATCCTTTCAATTTCCTACCTTTGCTACATTTGTTTTTTGTATATACTCATTCAAATAAAAAATGTGTCACTGTTATTCTCTGTATACCGCATATTAATTTTTTAGAGAGGGTTTACAATTAATCCTATGACATGTAAGGAACAAATATCAACTATAGTTAGATTCAATGCATACAGGGCTCTGGGGGCTGGGGGCTCAGGTTGTTTTTTCCTCTATCCTCCTGGCCATGTGTCATGGGCCCTGGAGGGAAAGGTGCATTGGTAAGGTGAACAGAAAACTCTGATGATGGTGCCATTGTGAGGGGTTTGGCTTCTTTGACCACATTCTATACTTCAGTGAGAGAGGTAGTGGACTGTTGGGAAGGGATGGCCTCCACCTCACTTGAAAAGGGAAGAAGCTTTTCTTGGCCATAATGGCTGACCTACTCAACACAGCTTTAAACTAAGATTGTTAGGTGGTCAATAAACAGTTCTAGCCCAGGTCATGCCAATCACAGTAACAACAGCTTGGGTAGCCCAAGGGAACCCACTCTGATAACAGCCCAAGGAAAGGTCATGTCCCATAACACAAGAAAACCTAGGGCTTCCCATGGCAGGCTCAACTGTCTATACACAAATGCCAGGATCTTGGGAAAGAAGCAAGAACAACTGGCTCTTCTCTTGTGAAATGAAGCTTATGACCTCATAGGCATAACAGAGACCTGGTGGGACCCCACCTATGACTAGTCTGTGGGTATAGAAGGCTATACCCTGTATAGGAGAGACCGTGTTGGGAAGAGGGGTAGGGGTGTACCTCTCTACGTCAAGGAGCACTACACCTCCCTACAAGCTGTGTTTACTAACCAAGAAGGCTTCCTCGAGACCCTCTGCATTAAAATACAGGGAGAGCATGGGGAAGGGGATATAACTGTAGGAGTCTATTACAGACCTCCCAACCAAAAAGAAAAACTGGATCAAGAATTCAATAGGGAACTGGCTGAGGCCACACACTCCCAGTGCATGATTGTCATGGGGGACTTCAACTTCCCCGACATCTCGTGGGAAGAGCATATGGCCAAATCTGACCGTTCATGTAACTTTCTCACCTGTGTTGACGACCTCTACCTAACACAGGAGATCTATAGGCCAAGTAGGGGAGAGGCACTGCTGGATCTGGTTCTGGGCAAAGGGGATGATCTGGTGAGCAATCTGAGGATCAAGGTGAAGCTTGGTGACAGTGACCATGATCACCGTCTCCATTCAACTCAGGGCGGGCAAATCCCTCAGTAAAACAGAAATCCTCAACTTTGGGAAGGCAGACTTTCACAGACTCAGGAGACTGGTCAGTCAAGCACTAACAGACCATGGCCCCATGGGAAAGGGAGTCCACAAGGAATGGTTATTCCTTAAGAACTCAATCCTAGTAGTGTAAGGGAAGTCCATCCTGCCCTGCAGGAAAGGCAGTCAGCAGACAGGAAAGCTCCCTTGCCTAAACAGGGAACTGTTGGAGCACCTGAAACTTAAAAGATAAACATACACCAAAAGGAAAATGGGAATCATCACCTAGGAGGGCTACTCAACACTTGCCCGCACCTGTAGAAAGCAGTTCAGAAAAGCCTAGGCAAAAACTGAACTCAAATTAGCTATTGGAATCAAGGACAACAGAAAGTCCTTCTTCAGCTATGTGGGAAGCAGAAAGAACAAAGGCAACATTGAACCCCTGCAAGATAAAATGGGGCAGCTGATGTGTGATGCCCAAGAAAAGGCAAATCTCCTAAACAAATATTTTGCGTCAGTTTTCTACCCACCCATTTGGGTCACACAGTCAGACAGAACGCAAAAGTTCCAGGGACTGGGAGATGCGTACATAATTGATGCTGATCAGCTGAAGGAACACCTTGAAAGGCTAGATGTCCATAAGTCCTCAGGCCCGGACGGAATGCACCCAAGAGTCTTGAAGGAGCTGGCAGACATCATAGTACGCCCAATGGCAAAGATATTTGAGAATTTGTGGTGGTTGGGTGAGGTGCCAGAAGACTGGAAAAGAGCTAATGTGGCCCCAGTCTTCAAAAAAGAAAGGAAGGAAGATCCAGGGAACTATAGGCAATCAGCCTGATGTCCACCCCTGGAAAGATCCTGGAGAAAATCATCAAGGGATCCATCAGCAGCAAGCTAACAGAAGGCAACCTTCTAAATGCCAGCTGACATGGCTTTGTTGCTGGATGGTCTTGTCTGAACAACCGTGTCACCTTCTATGACCAGGTACCTCAATAAGGGAGATGAAGTTGATGTTATATGCCTGGATTTCAAGAAAACCTTTGACTTGGTCTCCCATGATGTCTTCATGGTTAAGCTGGGGAACTGTGGCCTCAACCCTCTCATAGTCCAATGGCTGGGGAACTGGTACCGGGGTCAGACCCAACAAGTACTAGTTAATAGGAGTGAATCAAGGTGATGCAAGGTGACCAGTGGAGTCCCTCGGGGATCAGTTCTCAAGCCAATACTCTTCAACATCTTCATTAATGATCTGGATTCGGGTGTCAGATGTGGATGGGTAAAGTTCGCAGACAACACCAGACTACGGGGAAAAGCAGCCACACTAGAAGACAGATTGGGGGTACAGGCTAACCTGACACCCTTGCAAAGTGGGCGGACCAAAACCTGATGGCATTTAATGTAGAGAAGTGCAGGGTCCTCCACCTTGGGAGGAACAACCAGCATCAAACTTATAGGCTCAACAGTGCTACACTCACTAGCACTATGACCGAAAAAGACATGGGGGTCCTGATTGACCACAAGATGAACATGAGCCACCAATGCAATGATGTGGCCTGCAAAGCTAACCAAACTCTGGCATACTAACTAACATACTATTAAACTAACATACTATTAACTAATCCTGGATAGATTGGAGAAGTGGGCAGAAAACAACAGAATGCAATTCAACAAGGAGAAATGCAAAGCGCTGCACCTAGGGAGGAAAAATGTCCAGCATACCTACTGCCTAGGAAATGACCTGCTTGGTGGCACAGAAGCGGAAAGGGATCTTGGAGTCCTAGTGGACTCCAAGATGAACATGAGTCGGCAGTGTGACGAAGCCATCAGAAAAGCTAATGGCACTTTAT